TATTTTAAACTTCCTAGAAGAGATCCACTGGGCATTCTTTTGTGCCTAAACACTTCATTTTTCATAAATAAAAAGGCTCTAATTGTCTTCCATTTTAAAATGCTTTTGTCAGCAGAGATGTTGAGGAAGCAGTTAGAAGACAAAATAATGACAGTGTGAAAGTTGGAAGTGAAGTCAGTTCATCTCTTATCCCTTCTGACAGTTTACATTTTGAATGACAACTAAAGTTATCTATGTTGCAAGAATGGTAGTCTGTAGTCTGATTCTGTCCGTGTGTGTGTGTGTGTGTGTGTGTGTGTGTGTGTGTGTGTGTGTGTGTGAGTGTGTGTGTGTGGCAGAGAGAGAGAGAGGAGAAAGATTTAACACAGAGCCTTTACATGAAGCTACATTTCCAGCTATTTTTTTTTTTTTAATTTTGAGACACAGTATTGCTAAATTGCCCAAGCTGGCCTACAACTTGTGATGCTCCTGCCTTAGCCTCATATAGTTCTGGGACTTCAGCCATGCACCATATACCCAGCCTTATTCTTTAATAAGGTGATAAGAAAGTATATAATTTTCCACTATTATAGAACATCACCTTCAAAAATGATTTAAGTTATAATACTTTAAATCAAAGTATTTCTACATGGGATGACAAAAATGACCACTGACTAAAACTCTAGAGCAGAACTTTTCAACTTCAACTTCAATACTATAAACAGATCTGATTTGGAACAGATTTTGGGAATGGGAGGCCATCCTCCTGAACACCGCAGGTGACTCAGCAGCATCCTTGGCCTTCGCCCACTAAATGCTAGTGGCACCTTCCCCAGTCCATCTCCAAACACTGCCAAAGGCTTCCTGGGACTCAAATTTCTCTTTAGAGGAATTGTACATGGAAACATGAATTTTAGGCCTCAAAGAGGGTTCTAAAATGACAGTTCTCATAAGAGAAGGAATATTGGAGAAAATATCAGCCCTAGTTTCTGCCAAGTCCTCAGGGTACTATACAAGGCAGAAAGGAAGGCAAGAGCAGGGAACGTGTGTGGACAGGAGAGTGCCTGTGGGTGGCAGGAGGGGGGGCCCAGATGGGAAATCTGTTCTCCTTGTCAACAATGCCCCAACAAGTCGGAACCCACAGAGATCAGAGGAGGCAGAGACATCTTCTGTAGGTTCCAAACTACAACACATGGAGAAGTCCTGTCTTCTGCTAGCCAAGCAGAGGTGAATTATCAGCATATTAAGAAATGGGATGACACAGCTCAGTTAGATATTTTTAAAAGATATTTAATAATATTTTTTTCATCTTTTGAGAGAAATTTTTTTTCCAGAAAAACTATATAGGTTATACTTGTGGTTTGAAATCAGTAACTCTCAATTTTTTTCTTTGTGGTTATGGAAGAAATCATCAATTCCATTTCTTAGTAGGACCTCATAAACACAATAGACCAAATGCCAGAACAGAAATTAAACTGCTCTGTAATCCTCAAGGGAAGACATACTTTAACTATGAAGTATTCACACCAAGCCTAGAGAACAGTAGACAAAAGGGAATGAACTAGAGTACTTGTGGTTCACATTTACTGTTTTGACAGCATTGTTTATCAAAATAACTACAATTTTCAAAGAAAAGCCTGCTTAATTTTTACTATATTGCTTTCCTGTCTGGCAAGAACTATAAAGAATAAGTTCGCTAAGTTTGTGTTGAGTCTTTGTTTCAAAATGGCATCTTCTAGACCTCCTTTTATGATACATTATAAATTTAAAATCTGTTTTGATGATATTGTTATTGTGGTACATGTCATTATATACTTGTCAAAATTATAGAATATACAATAGAAAAGTGAACTCTAATATACATTAAAGCATTTAGTTAACAATATTGTGTCAATACTGTGATATCAGTTATAAAAAATGTACCATAGTAACACAAGATGATAATAATAGCAGAAACTGTAAGGTTGGGCAACAGTTCATGAGTGGAATTCTTGGTACTTTTCACTTACTTTTTCTGTCAATCTAAAACTGCCCTTAAAAAATCCTATTAATTAAAAATCTGTTGTCTATCTTTCAAAGGAAAAAGCGTTAAAATCATAAAGTATCTTTTAAATGGATTTGTAAAGATTCATCATTTTGTTACCAGATGGTGAGTCCTGTGGGGCTTTTTTCCAGGTTCTTGGTGTCCCTAACAAAGAATCAGGCAGAAAGGCAGCAAGGTCAACATTAATTGAAGGCAGAAAACAAGTAGACTGCAGAGTAACAGCAGACTAGTGAAAGGCTTATGGGGCCCAAGGATAAGGGTCAAGAGATTTTTTTATATTCAAAACACCTGGATTGATTTCTCCCTTGTGCAAATTAGAGGGACATTTGCCCTATCAAAAAATCACTTGGCTTTACACCAGATATAAGCAAGCCTATTTATTTATTTATTTATTTATTTATTTAATTTTTGTCTTTTTCTTTTTTATCGGTACCGGGGATCGAACTCACGACTGCCTGTTTGCAAGGCAGGCGCTTATGCCGCTGAGCTAAATCCCCAGCCCCCAAGCAATCCTATTTAAAATTCACCTGCCTTCACAAAGGATCCAAAAGGGCACCATTTGATTGGCTATGCCCACATGCAAATGAAGGATGAAGATAGCACCTTCTGATTGGTTCTGCAAACAGTGTCAGATTCAAATGAAAGACTGAACTATAGCTTGGTTCCATCTACAGTACACAGGACCAGTGAGATCATTTTTGTTCCTGTGTTCTTGCATGTGCCCTCTCTTTTTAGGAAACATCTCTCTCAACCTGTTAACCACAAGTTTGTATGACCCTTGACACATTTTGTCCTTTTAGTTATCAAGTTTGCCCCACCCCCAATCTCCTACCTCAAACTCACAGTTTATTCTCCTTCACTGCTGAAAACTATTGCTCCAGATGAGGAGGAGACAGCAAGGACTTCCCTCCCTGTGGGATTCTGGCCAGGGCACCCTTTCCAAGCTCTGGAAAATACTATTAGAGCGCTGTGAATGGTGAATCTCATTCTTCATTATCTGCATTTTCTTCATTTAAGCAATTACTCAAACTTTTGTTTTCTCTTCACAAAATAATTTCTGAAGTAAAATTCTCTCATTGTTTATAATGCATTGCACATGATAGGCAGATTATGTTCCTAAGTTACAGCGCAGAATGATTGCTAAAGACACAGCAATATGATAAATCAGAGAGCTTTTTCTTAGACTTTGTTTGCAGTAGCAAACGAGTTGTTATGCTGCAACACAGTAAGTTTCTCAGTGACATTCCAGTCACCCTGTCATAATAACTATAGATCCCGGTTTTAATCTCTGCCAAACAGGAATTTTTTTAACACAGCTTCTTGGCTGGTTGTCAGAGAAGAATCTCTAGGCTAATTAGACCCTCATCATTCAGAGGAGGGCTCTGAGAAATACTTCACACTAAAAATCTAAGGAGAGTAGGGCAACCTAAAGGCACTTTTTAAAGATATTTTTTCAGAGGAACTGGAGTCCCATTAAATGCCCTGCCTACGTTTTGGACAAAGGTAAGAATACATCTAAAGCAGTTAATTGTCAGTTCAGCTGAATTCAATACTAATCTAGAGTAGATAAGTCCCAAAGACAGAGTTAGAAGGCACAGAACAAAGTGATGAATTCATGGGTATTGAAGTCCCTAGAAACTTGGGTTCTACTAAAGGCTGTGTGACCCTGGGCAGGTCACCTCCCAGGACCTCCAATCTCATATCTGTAGGTGTGGTAGTGTCCCACAAGAGTCAAGATCTAGGCAAAAGTGCAGGTGGAAGCTTTATCCTTATTTTTAGGAGCAGTAACAGTAGCAACAATAATTATATCCTTTAAAGGCATGTGGCTCCAAAAAGGTGAGAGAGAAGTATGGTGAAAAGTAAGGGGACATTCAAGGTAAAAGTTTGCATTTCCAAAGCAGTAGGAAGGAACAAGTTACCTTTTAAGGTAAGATAAGAAGTTATTTTTGGAGAAAGAGAAAGGGAAATAAAAGTTTAAATGTTCTTCAAATTCATGTCAAGAATTTATTGACATTTTTAAACAATAAAGGAAAACCTGTATTTTAAAAATCTAAGTGGTGCATAAAAATATTTGTTATATCACTTTGTATTTTTGTTGTGCATTTGAAATAATTTTGAAATAAAGAACTAGTGTTAGAAACAGAATGAGAGACAATTTTATCCTAATCATTTAAATATTATCTATACATAACTGTTTGAATTTAAGACCTTACTAATAACCATTTGGGGAGTGTTTGGAAATTTTATTTCCAATTTTCTCAATGATTGTTTTGTTTTTGTTCTCTACTTTCCAAGTATTGAATAAGAATAACACAACAAAACCTGCCACAGAATACTGACATGAAGCATTTTCAGCTTATAAGAATTTCCATTGCAGATCTCTGTTCAGATTTGACCATTAATTCCTAGACAGACGAGGAAAATTAAAGTTCAAATCCAGGAGCCATTACCAATGGAATGTATTGTATGTCAGTGGTCTAGTATGTTTTAATTTACTAAAATTTATTTTTGAACACTTTTCAAACGTGGAAGTGCTGTGTAAAATGAGATACACCAGTATATTCCAAAGCCTAACTCAGACTCTTGGGACTAGACACCCCTTTGATCTCATCACAAATTGGCTCCTGAACACCAGAAGGCCTCCTGGACTCAGGTCTCCGGGGATCTTACCCCTGAAGCATCTCCAGCCAAATAAAGTGGCTGAGACAGACACTGGACCCAGGCAGAATGGCAACCATTTCACAAAATTAACCCCAAACGATGTGAACAGACAATTCTCCGCATGTAATTATGGCTTTTGTTATTTTCTCCCCACGAAAACACTCTATTGCTTTGGCATAAATGCAACAGATAAAGGTATTCAGCCGTGGCTGGCAATATTTCTGATCCATATTTCAATAGATTATCCTGAATTGGCCTCCTGGAAGCATTTATGCTGACCAGTTTTGAAAACCTCTTTGTCAGCCCTCACCCTTACCTGCTAACACCGCGCTAATGGATGAAAGCAGGGGCGATGATAATCGCTGTCTGCCTGCCCAGCCCTGAGAGTGCTGCCGAGTCTGCACCACAGTCGTCTGCAGGGAAAAAAGGACGGACGGAAGCAAGGAGTGTAATTCAATGAGTACTTGGGAACCAGGCTCGAGGGTTTCTTTTTTTCCTTTTAAAGGAGTAGTGATATCAGAAGAAGGATTATGAAAAAAGAAAGAGTTAGTAAAAATAGGATCTTTGTGAATTAGAACAGCGAGGGCATTTCAAATTGAATTACAGGGGATCACGGCAATTAGAATTGGAAAAGATCTCTCAGTCTTTCTCTGTCAAAGCGTGATTACTCCCAGTGGTATATTCTTCTGAGCTTAGTCCAGTCCAATTTTAAATCATTCAAGTGATCGAGCCTCCTCAGCCTCTCTTGGGATACCGTTTCACAGTCCAAATAGCTAACTGCTGGGGAATCCCCATATATTTTTTTTCTTGTGATTTATTTCCATTATTCTGTTTTTTTTCCCCCAATCTACCTTAAAATTATTTGAATTTAGTTTTCAATGAATTTAATCTACATTTAAATAATTAAACCCAGATGACTGGGTCTTTATAGTGAGGTTAATGTCCTTCACTCCCTCTCGTTCGTATACACCCTTCATCTGTGCATGCACTTAAAGAGATGCATGTGTACAGGACAAGCATACAGACATCAGCATACATCTCCATACACATAGGCCCATAATTAGGAAATATTACACAGCCACAATGTGCTTGTGAAAAAAACTAATTAAAAAACCTAACTTTTAAATTGTTTTTGACAAAGAACTCATAAAACCCTGATAAACTACTGCTTTAAAACTGATAGAGGCAACAAATGTAAACTTAAATATCATTTTGCTTTGTGAACATTATATTTCCTTCACATGAATAAAGTATGATCTTTTAACATAGGATTTACTATAGTTTATTTAGTACCAATCATACACACAACAAGGCTCTAATGCAATAAATATATTTATAGAAAATATTCAAACCTCTTTGCAACGACTGAAACAATACTGACATATTTTCTTTGTGGAGGAATTCATTCTTACACGAAATATGGTTTACGATCTGAGCAAGTTGTAGAACCTGGGAGAGCAGCGTGGGGTATTCAAGGTTAATAGAAATTGCTTGAGGGTATTTAAATTTGATCAAAGAACTTATATAGTTTTTTATGTCCTTTCCAAAGAGTTGCCCCAAAGTATTTTTCACACCTATCAATCAGCTAATATCCAATCAGGAAGGAAAACACATACCTTGGAAAAAGAAAAAAAAAGCAAATGAATAACTTGAATTTTCTTTAAAAAGGTGAACATCACCATTTTCATGAGAACTATGTAATTAATTCATAAAATCCTCAAGCTGGAAGGATTCTTAGAGATCGTCTAACTCTGTGGTTATATGGTAATGGCTTGAAAAAAATTAGGAAGCTTGCACAGAGTTCAAACTTTCAAAATTTCAGTTGGATAAACTTTAGTTGATTATGTGTATTGAATATGTTTTTACATAAAATTCCTTATGATAATGATAGCTATCAATTTTTGAGTACTCATGTGTTAAGTATTATTATATAAGCTTCTTATAAGGTAACTCAATCTCACAATACCATGGGGTAAGTAGAAGTATCTCTGTTTAATAGGTTAGAAATCTGAGCCTCAATGAGTTAAAAAGAAAGTAATTATACAGCAGAACTGATTCACAAGCCCAGAGAATCTAACTCTCAGATAGGTGATGAGCAAGATACACTACCCTCTACCCTTCAGAAAGACTCATTAACCAGAGGAAACTTCCCAGTGGAAAGAGTGAGGGGCCGGTCAGAAGACCACACAGAAGGACTCAGGCTTTCACTGAGTCAGTGGAGTGGCAAATCTTTATGACAGAAACTGAATTTCCTTGAAAGCATACTTAAAATAACTGATATTGTGGGTTCTCATTCAGAAAAGAAAGTCAGCTGGCCACCTGTCTACAAGTCCTGTGTGTGGAAGTTTGCCATCAGATTTCACAGCATCATTCTTATGTCTGTTTCTGTTAACTGCTTTGTCTCATGCTAATATGTTGCTTTTCCCTCGATTCTTTGTGTGTCGTTATTTTAATGAATGCTGGAATTCGTGTGCAAAAGACAAAAAGAAGGGAATGTCATCTAAATATCCATGTTAAAAAAAAAAGAAATTTTATCCCATCTTGTACCACGTACAAAATGAACTAAAGATGGATCAACCAGACCTTTTGAGGTGTCATGGTACTTTTTACCATTTAATCAAGAAGTATCAATTTTTAAATATCGCATGCTATCATTTTAAAATCATTTCTTTCTCTGTCTTCTTAAGAGAAGTACTTGTATTGTAGAAAATTTGCATAGCACAAATAGAAGGCATAAATAGAAAAACCAACCATGATTTTTTTTTTGCAGAGATGACCTCTATTAGTATTTAGTTAATAACTCTTACTGCCTTCTGTCTTTCAATCACCACATATACATTTTGGAGGACAAAACTGCGATCTTACATACTAGCTCATAATACAAATTAAGTGAATTTTTCACTCAGTAATATTTGTGAATACCTTATATAGCTTAAGTATATATTTTTAAAAATTTTTTAATGTACAATATTTTGTCATGTGGTCAATAATTTATGGTTGTGTTATTGTTGAACATTAAATTTGTTTCAATTTGAAAATTATTACAAATATGATAAGGATGAAACATTTGCACAATATTTAAATGTATTTGATTCTTATTGCAAAATCAACTTTAGAAATGTTATCCAAATTTATCTTCATACCAGGAGCTCTGAGAAATACCTGTTTCACTGAGCCCTAGTCAAACTTAGTTTATTTTTTTTATAAAATCCTCAACATTCAAAAGAGAAAATAATTGTAACTTTTTAGTTTTTAATTCTGAATTTCTTTATATGCTTATCATCCATTTTATTTTCTCCTTTTATGAACTACACATTCATATTCTCCCCAGCTTTGATTTTTGCTTTCTTCTTTCTTAGTAATGTATAAGGACTTCAACATATTAAGAAAATAAAAGCAATTTCTCTTTTCTTCTTTTGTTGTTGGTTTTATTTAATAGATTATACGTGTTTACCTGAAACAATATTTGTGAATGGAAACAGAAATGAAGAAAGAAGGTCAAAGGGCTCAGCGTGAAGTTTATATTACCTTAAACAGCCCGGCTGTGCCTAAGAATACAGCTGAAGACAGCACCCACGAACAAAGAAGGCAAAGAGCCTGAAGGAAAATTTTTCTGCTGGCTAAGATGTAGTTGGGGAGACTCCTATAAATCTGTACCATATTAGTAAGGCATTAGCAGAGTAAATTCTCTCTCAAAAATCTACTCACAAGTCAATTTTTTGAACAACAATAGAGATCTTTCTTTAAGAATGGATATGTCTTTTGGCTAAACATGGATAGCAGCTTTTACTCAATATGGCATAATAATTCCAGCAGGCTCACAGCGGCAAACTAAGTCTGCCTCAGAGTATCTTATTACAATAAAATCAAATTTAACCTCTTAAACCCAAGACATAAATCACTCACTTTTCTTTCAAACAATTTGTGAATGTATTACCATAAATACTACCTGTCACAAGACTGATAGCTGTCAGTAGCTCAAAATATGAATAAAATTGAAAATGCATTTGAATATAGAAAACATGATAGCATTTTCTAGAGCAGTAATGATAATAAAAGGTTATAACATATAAGAAAAAAATCTCAGGGATAATTAAATCAAGCAAACTTTCTTTAAATTAAATGAATTCCAAATCAGCCTCACCAGAGTTGTATTTCCACCAAATATAACAGTCAATAAAATACTTATTGACCCTTGTAATATAGTGGTGGCAAATTCAGTTTACTTTGTGAATTTTTATATTGAAAGAACATATCATGTTGCAGGGCATAATTTTAAAACTGTACAATATGAGTTTATATTTCTTTCTAAATGATACTTGAAACTTTCATTAATAGATCTCCAACAATGTAAAACTTAGTCTCTCCTGAATTTTAGAATACATTTTTGATCACAGTGATTAAATTCAAATGCTTTTTAAAAGATTCAAATCAATATATTTTAGATCACATAAGTTTCTTTCAAATGTTTAAACTGTATGTGTAACTTATTTGCATTTTCTGATTTAAAAAACACATTATTATATGCAACAGCTTTGATAGCTCTCAAGGACATTATGTTAAGTGGAAAAAGCCAACCTCAAAGGTTGTACACTTTATGATTCCATTTATATAACATCCTTGAAATGACAAACTATGGAAATGGAGAGGAGATTAGCGGTTGTCAAGGCAGAGGCTAGAAGTGAGTGTGGCTAATAGATGAGAAGATAAGACAGCTTTTGTGTTGCTGGAACCGTTCTGTATCTTGCTTGTGGTAGTAGTTATAGAAATCCACTCATGGGATTAAGTTCACTGAGTAAAACACATTAAAAAAATAGTACATGTCAAAACTGGCAAAAATTGAACAAGGTTTGCAGTCAATTGAACAGTTTTGTACCAACATCAGTTTTCTGGTTTTGATTTTGTGCTTCAGATCAGATGGTGCTATGTCTCCCTTGAGGAAACCAAGTAGAAGACTCACAAGAGTCCACTGTATAAATTTTGCAGCTTTTTGTGTATTGATAATTATTTAAAAATAAAGTTTTACAAATTATGTCTACTAATTCATACTTTTAAGTTAGTTAGACTATTTTCAGAAAGAAATAAAAATTAGAACTCTTAGCAGCCAATTTCTGTTATAAAATTCACTCACAATTCCCTTTTTTTATTAGAAAATTACTCATTCTCATTTAGTGCCTTTTTATTCTTCAAACATATTTCTAATGTGCTTAATAATCTGGTTTCCGCAACTATAACAGATACATATATTCAGTAAACCATGTATTTATTTATTCCTAGCTCAGAAATTTTTACGCATCCCTTAGAAAGATATTCTACTTCCTAAAAGAGAGGAGAGATGACAGATCAGAAAGGAGGAGGGGTGAGGATAAATGGGACTAAATCAGAAAGTCTTTACATGTGGGGGTTTGAGATGTTTGTCTTTAAGACAATGGGGCAC